TGCAGCCTCGGCTTGGTCCACCAACTTTTTCATCTTTGATTGTAAACTCTTGTTAGTTTTTTGAAGAGCAGAGAACTCCTTCTTCATCTCGGCCAACTTCTCTCGATTTTCGAAAGATTGAACAGAGAAAGAATGGGCATGCTGGATGGCCTGAAATTGAATAAAACAGAAGTTATTAGAAAATTTCTAAGTATAAGAAAGATGGAAAAAGGTGCCAGATGAAAGACACTTACTTGAACAGAACATTGAAGCATCAAAGCGTAGTTTTTGTACTCGCTCATCTTGGCGTTTCGATTAAGATCGCCCGAGAGGAGCAGAGCAGTACTAAGGGCTACGCCGATGTTGATGTCATCAGCACTGTCGTTAGCCATAACTGGCTTATCTTCCAGAGTAATTTTTGGAGCCCAGGCAGCATCATTCTTTTTAGACCCCGAGGTGGTTGCAGAAGATGACTTCGGCTTTTTGGATTTTGGGGATTCTGATGGCTGGGCTTCAGAGCGCCTCTTCCCAACAGAGGGTTGAGATTTGTCACTCTCAGCCAACTTGGAGATCGGCAACGTATCCACAGATTCAGTCTGAGTTAACTTAGCCTTTGGTTGAGCCTTCTTGATTCGTTTTGGCTTTGGAGGAGGCAGGGTTTGTATTGGTTGTACATCAACATCAGAAGGGATGCTGGCCAAGAGATCTTTTGCAATTGGTTTTGGGCGACCCATCTCGGTAGTAGAAACTGTTCGGCGTCGGCGGCGGCATTGTGATATTGGAATCAAGTATGGAGCCGAGGTTGATGGCTGATCAGCTGGATCGGAAGTTGACCCTTGATCTGTCCGAGATGTGGACGCAGTCTGTGGAGTTGTAGCAGAGGGTGGAGAAAGGCTTTTCTTCTTCCTCTTAGGGACGTCGGGCAGAGCTGACTTATAAGTTGGGATAAAGTTGAGAAACAAAGGGGCTTTCCGTTTGTGAACCGGAAGGTTCAGTAGCTTCTTCAAATCCTTGCTGGGGAAGAAGGATTGACGAAAGTTCTTTGGAGGCTGAGGAAGAACTGCAAAGATAGAACAGCACAGACATTAGAACAAAATATTGAAAACTTTATGCAAGAAGATAAGAAAACTTATGAAGGGTGGCCCTTACCAGCTCCTTCCCCAAGAACTGTTCGGCATAAGGGATAAAAATGGAGGTCATCGTTTGGCAGAAACTCCTAATTGCCCGAGACGATGAAGTAATCATCTCCAGCGCCCTTGTTGGAGTCTAGGAGGTTGGCTACGATTTTATATTCAGTGGATCTCGGCTTGAGGTAATAGACATAGTCCGTGTCTTTTCTAAGGCGACACATGGTATAACAGTACTGGAAATCGGCAAGCGTAATCCTGGCATTCTCTTGTTTGACTAAAGCTATGGTACCAGTAATAACTCGGTAAGAATTGATGGCGAGTTGCATTGGGTTCAACTTATAGAAGTGAAGGATTTGACGGAAAAAATGGTCAAGCGAAAACCGAAGTCCACACTTAATAAAAGTAACCACAGAGAAGGGCATGGAGTTGTCTGTAGGCATGATGGAGTCATCATCCCCAGCCAACCTCAGATTGACATCGGTTGGGATTTCAAACTCTTGCCTAAAAAATTCTAGCTTGGAGGGGATGTCTACCCGATGTTTCCACATACCCATAATATCGGGATAACTAAAGGTATTGGATTTCAAAAAGAAGATGTTTCAAAAAGGGTTATTGGGACCTCGGCAAAAAACCTAGGTTTGAGCTGGTGCAGAAATTTATAAGGGATGTTTCAGTTTTGTCCTAAATTGTGGGTTCTACAGACAAATCCCAAACCTAAATCTATGAAAACAAAGACTGAAGGCACGAATCTGGAAAAGACACAAAAAAACAGAAAACAAAAACGGAGTTTCAGAATCAAGAACAGAGATGGTCTATCAAGAGCATAAAGAATACAAGAAGTATAGGGACAAGAACAGTGGCAAAAATACAGGGAAGTGATGAAACAGTGCGTGTGTTCAAGATATGGGCAAGGGCAAAATCGTGGAAAAAATACATTCAGATGAATGATTCACAAGATCGAATGTTTAAGCAAAGCAGTAATGGCAACAAGTTCAAGAAAAAAATTAAGAAACTGAAATAAGAAGGAATAGTATATTACCAGAGGAAGAACGAAGCCGGTGTTAAATATTGCCGAGGTCAGACGACAGTGGCCGGACCGGAGAATCAGCACAAACCTAGTCGAAGAAAGCAAACGCCGGTGGCTGCAGAACTTTGGAAGCTTGAGCAAAGGAGGATTTCGAAGGGTAAAGCAAGAAAGAGAGAAAAAGAGCTTCAGACGCGAAAAAGTAAAGTGAAAAGACGGGGGAAAAGAAAGAGTTTTGATTAAACTTGAAACGACGGCAAAAAAGGAAATTAATGATTCTAGAAAAACGAATCTGTCAGGCGGCGTATACAGGCGCAAAACAATCTACAAGCACGTCCGGAGTACGATCCAGTAAAAAGAAGACGCGTGGCTGAAACAGTTGAGTTGTTTGTGCACGACAGCTCACAAACAAGGAAGAGCACTTAGAATTCTTGATCTTTAAGAAAACATGTCGGCCTACGATGATGATCTCGGATTAACCCGATGAATTAGCGTGAGGTACTGATATAGGTTCCATCACCTCAAAATGCCGAGGTAATAGAACCTAGGGGGCAGTTGTGGGGATATATTTTTGAGTACCAACACGTGGCAAAGTGACGCCGACGTTTCAGCCGAGATACCATGTGTCATGGTCATTATGCCAAGGTCATCTCGGTTAGGCCGAGGTTATCTCCAAAGATATCGGAATCCGAAATAAGTGGATAGGGGACAAGAGTCCTAGAATAAGGAAGAACTATGGCATGGATAAGGATAAAACTCTTAGGGAGTTTATCTTTATCTCTTGGTGAGTCTAGGATAAGTACTGAGCAAGAGTCCATTGAAGCTAGGCTTCTAGTGGGACAATGATTGAGTTAATTATAAAAGACAGGCACCCCCATGGGTCTAAGGTACGCAATATATATTCTGTCTAGTGAATTAAGTACTATTAATTATCTTTGAGAGATATACTGACTTGATCGTTGGAGTGCCTCCGGATGGACGAACCACCGCCAGAATCTTCTCTTTCTGTTGCAGGTCAGCCAGGTGCCATCTATTCTGCCGGTGCTCTCCAGCTGGTTCTTAAGCGGGCAGTGTAGTCAGAAAATCACTCACACACTACTTTTTGGGGATTTTTTCATTTCTTTTTGTTTTTTTATTTCAATTTTAATTTTTAATGAATTGGATCCTATTAGAATCCTCTCTTGCTAAGCGTAATTGGAGGGAGCAGATCATCTGCTGTCTACTCTTCCCACAAAGCCACGCCTTTTTGTAACAACCACTTATTTAAATATGTATATATATTAGAGAGAGAGAGATAAAAGAAGAAAGGAGAGTAGAGAGAGAGAGAAATAAAAGATGAGTTTGTGTAAATGTTTGTGCCTCCTAAATTATGATTTACAAAAAGAAATCCATCCATCAAAAGATGATTCTCATTCCCTGAAGTAATGTCATTTTCCCCTACATGGTTGACATTCAACAAAAATTATTCAGGACCGATAATTAACACAAAGTTTCAGAAAAATAATAATCCAAAACATATTCATCATCTACTCAGAGCAGTCAACAATGGGTTCAATCATGAATCTAAAAAAAAAAAAAACAATGGGTTCAATCTTGACACCCTTGATGACCTTCTTGGCCTGCATAAATTGAAGGATTATCTTCTTGAGTCAAATCATTCTGAGGATTTTAAATTTGTTGTGTACCTCCCCAATTCCCAGGTATTTTTACAGCTCCCTACCTGTTGGAACCCAAAAAAAAAGAGGAAACAGTATCGGCATCTGCAAGGAAAACAAAAACATTGTGTTAAATGGTTTCCCACGTTGCTATGGTATGTGCAGGATACGTTTATTCATGAAAAGCTTAGGGATGTGCTGCTTTCTCCACTGTGTCATATCAAGGACTTGGAACCCACAGTGCTTATCACAGCTGCACAGATCTCGTAGACAACATCCTTCAATCAGACCAACCAGAGACTCTGTCTGTAGTAGTATGTCGTCATGCAAACTCTCTGAGGTATTATTGTGTTTTTTTAATAATAGTGAACAGGAAAACAAAAAATGACTTCATGTACTTCCACTTGTGTTGCAGCATAACATCTATGTTTTATTAAATTTTTTTTTTTTTTTTTTAAACCTGAATTACAGTTGCTATATGCTAACATTGAAGGAGAAAAAGACTGAATAGAAGAAGAGAATCAAGCCCAGCGAGAGATGAACCCAGAATCGGGCAGTGTATGTTGGATGGTTTTGAGATTCTCACTTTTAAGGTTGGAAAATTTGTGAAAGAATTTAAAAAGAAAAAAGAAAAAAATAGATAAAATGTCAATAAAATATACTTATATTTTACTTAATTTTACATCATTTTTCCCTTTCTCTGTTCAAATCTTTTCTCTGTTCAAATCTCTTCTCAAATTCCCCAACTAAAGGACACAAGATAGAAGGGATCATGCCTGGAAATCATTCTTGGAGGTACAGTCAGTTGTTCCACACCAGACAACTACAATTAGATTAAAATGGAAAATTTAAGATCATTAATAGGGCTTCAAATAAAATATTTTAATTGCTATTTTCATGTTTTGACAAAAAAAAAACTTCTATGTTGCATGAAAGGCAGCAAATTCCTATCGAATAAAAAGTTTTTATCTGATTTTTGGGGTATTATCACTGTAAAACATTTGATTATTTGTGTGATCATGAAGATATTCAATCCACCAAAAATTGGAATGCATTATCAAGCTTTAATAGCATATTCAACACAAATTTTCTCAGAAAAACATGCATCCAAACACCTGCTCGGGTCACTCAAAAGTTGGATCATATAACCTTATCAATAACAAGATAAATCAATGCAACAAAAAGATAATTGCATTTTAATTGAAACTGAAATCAACAGTTAAACAAATAGATTCATTCCATCAAATGCAAAAGGAAGCAGATTTTACAATGACCAAACCTCATACACAACCCCAAGCCATTTCATGTTGCAACTCAAACTGTCACTCACTCTTGATGTTTCTAACACAAAATCTACCATATCCACCGGATTTAGAATACTAAAAACTGCTAAAACTAAAATTTCCATACAAGGCTCCATCTGACATACACTAGTTGGAACCCAAAATTTGAAGTCCTTAAAGTTCTTCCAATGCAATGTGAATTATCACCTCCATAAATGATATAATCTTTGCTAAGATAAAACTACTCAACATCCATTACTTCAACTTTGCCATTAGTTTCCCTCTTAGGCTTGACATCCTCCAATTGAGGCTTGCTTTCCACTTCAGGCTCCATGCAAGAATCCGCTTCAGGCTCAACCTTCGCTTCATTCTCAACGTCAGCATCAGGCTTAACCTCTGTTATAGGCTTAACCTCTGTTTTAGGCTTCTTAGCTTTAGACTTGGTTTCCACTTGAGGCACAGTCTCTACATGACCCTCAGCTTCCTCCTCTTCTATTTTAGGAGCCAAATAGAACCTGATGTAACCCATCTCCGCAACTTTGTACTCAACCACCACGGGTAGTTCTGAAGAAAGGCTTATAGTCACTTGGCTTGCCAACGGAGTGGCCTTTGCAAATGAATTCATGTACCTTAGTGCAAAAGTCAGAGAGACAGTCTCTTGCATTTCTATGATGGTAGCTTCTTCGGGCTGCAAATTATAATGGGTAAAAAGCAAGATGCATTTATTAATTAGTTAGCCCAAAACAAAAGCACAAATTTCTTGGACACATGAAGCAAACATTCTCACTGAACATCCACATTAACAAACAAAAAAAACATTAGAGGAAATTTTGCATTAGAAAATATATTGAAAAGATTTGAGCAATTTTGAACAATGCACAAAATCAAACCTTGTCTACTGAAGTATTCTGCCTGCAAACAATGTTGGCTGTGCCAATATCACCTCTAGTGGAGAATTTCACACCTTCCTTCGTCACAGATATTACAACTGCAACAACACATTACATCCCACAATTAGAATTCTGAACATCGTCGCACAGCGTATCATAACTAGAAAGGAACTAAAAAATAAAATAGTAACAAGTTAAGGAGAAAAGGATCGGTGATGTTGAATGAGGTGATAAGAGATATAGTACCGGTATCACCAATTGTGCTGAGATCTTTGCAAATCCTTGCAAACTCAGCTGATGGCATCCTAACAATGGCATCATATTCCGCTTCTGGAATCCCAAGATGCTCGCTATCAATGTCCATGAGCTTCATCTCAAAATCCGCAATCTTATCTTGAGCTTCAATAAATCAATTTGAACCACGAATCAAGAGATATATTTCCAAAATCCAAAAATGTTAGGAAAATAATCCCATGTTCATTTATGAAAACGGTGACTTCCTAGTGTAGTTTCTATCAAATAGTATCCAAAAATAATCAAAACGAAAATAAGAATGGTTCATTTGGTGCAAAATTAAATTAAAGTACAAGACCTTTCTTTGCAAGTGAAGCAATCACTGACTCCCACATTACAGAAAGAAGAATAATGAGATTATGCAGAGTGGAAAATAAGAACAACAAATAAAAATCCAACAATCCAAATTGTGGTTTGAATTCAGATTAAATAAACTGCAAAACCTACGAAAAATAGAACACCAAAAGGGGCTTACAAATTCTTTCAAACCTGAATTGAAAGAACTATAGAAAAAAAAAAGAGCAACAATTCATAAATGCAACCTTTGCAGGTACAAATAGGAACTATTATGTAACAACCCATGAATTTGACATGTATACAGAGCAATATATCAAACATTCACGACAGATAACCAAAGAAAAAGTAAATTGGTCCTCCAAGTGCCCTCAAATTCACCTAATTTTCGTCAGTTTTCAAGTCATTTGGAATCAGCTAAGTCAGTTTATGCTTCAGTTTTGCAAATTATTGCATTTTGGCCACAAGGATCAAGTATTTAAATACATGCATATATAATATACATATACATACACATCGATTTGTTCTTCCCAAATCTATTGAGAAAAAAACAAGACAACTAGAAATCAAACAAATCAAAGAAAACCCTAAAACTCACAAATTAAATTCAAGTTCACAAATTGGAAAAAAAAAAAAAGGATTAGGGTTATGGTTTAGGGGGATAGCATACTAGGGCTTTCGAACATGAAAGTGACGGAGTCGCTTCCGTCATCGGCCTTGATGGTGATAATGTCGTCGTTGCCGGCGCACTTTAGCATCTTGGCCATGTTGGCGAGGCTCATGCCCATGGAGAGGTTGCGATCGCAGCGGTAGTGCTCGAAACCCTCCGATCGGAGGAGAAGGGACACCAGAGCCACGTGGCTAGAATCCATGGCTTGGAGAGAAAAGCCAGTGGCAGAGCAATCGAAGTTGGCATCGTTCACCAAATCCTTGATCGCTTCCAGAACCTTCTTCAGTAAACTCCCCTGCACTAGCCTTAGCTCAAACATCTTCCTTATAGAGAGAGAGAGAGAGGGAGAGAGAGAGAGAGGTCGTGGTGCAGGGGAGATTGCGACTACATTGTGTGGTTTATATATGAGGAGAGAGAAAATTGGGGTTCTGTTTGGCGGGAAATGAATTCGTTCCCGCCACAAGGCAGTTAACAAACGGTGTCGTTGTTTGGGTACGAAAAGGAGAAATGGAGTACTTTTGTGATGGTGTTATTCTTTTCATAAAAATTATTAAAATAAATTACATTTATTTTCTTAAGATTTTAAGAAAATATAATTTAAATAGCACACTTTGGCATAATTAAGTAGGGTTTTTACAAATCAATTTTTGATGCTTGTGATTTGGATCCATTCGCATATTTACAGTTTAGGAAAAATTGAACTCGCAATTTTCACAATACGGATTTTGATTTGTGCAAATAGAATTTGCTGATGTGCGGGTAGTTTGTGGATTGGACTTTTCATCTAAAAATTTATTTCTGAGCTTGCTTTTTCTCATTTTTTAAATATTCTTTTTCAGCGTTTTCCTTTCATTTTTTAAATATTATTTTGGGTCATAAAATCACATATTTCTTATCATGAAATTATATTTTCCAAATAATTTATCCTAAAAAATTACAACCTATCTATCAAATTTATTTTCAGAAAGAAACAAACCATAAGCACAGGTCAAGATCAGTCAATTAATTCATATTTAATTTCTAGAAAAGATATAAACTAAACTAAACAAAACTCATAATTGTTTTAATAAAAATAGAACAAACATCTTTCTTGAAAAATTAATTTTAGGATTTGCTAAACCTACTAACTAGTGAAAAACAATAAGCATAACCATGAATAAGCCATTTTATTCATTTTATTACAAGTTATCAGTTTTTGTTCGGTTTCCACACTTGTAATGCAAAACAAGTTACAAAACATTTGTTTACTTACAAGTAAGTGAGAGAAGAAAAGATTAGGATTACATACTTTACAAAACTTATAAGAAAATCTAACAGTCCAAATTTTAAATATATATATATATATAGATGCGGCCGGGTGAGTGCGGATAAAAACCACAACCTGCAAAACAGGAAAATCTTAACCCCCATCTAACCTTAATGATTATGTAAAACCATTCAAATAGATGCAGATGATTCGAATTGGACGATTTTCACGTGTCGAATAACTCTATATCTAACCCTATAATTAGGGGAGGTGAATGTGAATCTAACCTTATTATTTTTGTAATTATGAACTTGAGTGGTATGGCCAAAGTAGCAATGCCGCAAAAGAATAATCCAAGAGTAAATTATAAATACATTCGTTGAGAATTACTTAAATTTTAGATCGTTCCATGTAATTTTGAAAATTATATCTTATTCTTTTAAATTTTTAATTATATAACAAATGATCTATTTTATTAATAAATCATTAAGTCCATTAATAATTTTTAATGATGTTAAAAATATATTTTAATTAATAATTCTATAATTTTATTATTGTATATGAGAGTAGTTAAGAATTTTATTTTTTTGCTATTAATTCTGTAAAATAAAATATTAAAAAAATTATAAGGATACATTTATAATTTTCAAAATTACAAAAAATAATTCATATTTTAAATAAATTTTGGGTACTGTAATTGTAATTTAGCTATAATTCAACTAGCACACCTTAATATCCAATCTAATTTAATTGTCTAAGTTCAATCATAAAATACAAACTTCTAAATTTTAAATTCATCCACTAGTTCAGATATATAAGATTTTTTTTTTTTTTTTTGTAAGTATAAATGAACTTAAGACTTGATTGCAACCACTTGGTTAAATCATATTATGAGACATGAAACCAAGGTTTTAAAAGGGGAGATAAATTTTTCCACCATGTATATAATTTAAACCAAAAAAAAAAAATGACATGAAAAGAGGAAATGATAGTGTCCACTTCAATAAACTTCTTCTGAAAATCACTTTTATTGAAATATATATATATATATATATATTTCTCAAAGGCTTCAAGATTTTACCCTTTTTTTTCTATTGAAAAGAATGCTGTAAAAATTAATAAATTTTACAATTTTTTTAGCTCATAATAAATGTGGCATGTAATTAAAAAATCTTACTATTTGAAAAGCAACCCAAGATAATAATATGATACGCACAACACGAGTAAAAAAATTGATAAAATTTGCTTGTAACACAACTCAAATTAAAAGCATTTCATTATGCTGTAATAAAAACAAAAGTTTAGAATAACACAATTTCAGCTACCAAAATTTCCCTAATTGTTAAATTGTTTATGTTACTCAAGTTGAACTCATTAAAATTTTGTTGAGTACAACTCGCTTTATAAACAAATAAAATTGAAATACATTTTAAAGTTTGCTAACTTTTTAACTTTGTTGAATATATTTATATGTTATCAATTTATGATCAGCTCAATTAAACTCATTTAAAATTAAAAATAAGATAAATACATCTAAAAAAATTTGGATTTGGGGTCACTGCTGTGATAAATACACAGCAGTGACTGTTGTGGTTCATTTTGTGGTGTATTATGGGATTATTTTTATGATCTGAACCGTTCATTTTGTAAGGTTTGTTGAGTACTTCAAGCCTACCAAAAATCATATTAATCGGATACCAATAACTATATAATTGATAACCAAAAAAATAAACAATAAGTTTTTCTTTTAAAAAATAGTATAAAAATATGCAATTCGATCATATAGTTGTTGATATCCGATTAATATGATTTTTGGCAGGCTTGAAGTACTTAACAAATCCTACAACATGAACGGTTCATATTATAAAAATAAGTCCATAATGCATCACAAAATGAACCACAACAATCACTGCTGTGTATTTACCACAGCAGTGACCCATAATCCCAATTTTTAAATTGTGATAAATTTTCCAGATATTCAGCAGAGAATTCGCAACAATTAATCAAAACATAACACATCATCCCAGGCATCAAATTGCTAGGCACCAAGCAATACGGTTACTAAAAACTTCAATAATCTAAATAAATAAATAAAATAAAAATCACTCATTTAAAATTAAAAATAAGATAAATACATCTAGTTTAAACACATTTTAAATTCTGATAAATTTTCCAGATATTCAGCAGAGAATTCGCAACAATTAATCAAAACATAACACATCATCCCAGGCATCAAATTGCTAGGCACCAAGCAATACGGTTACTAAAAACTTCAATAATCTAAATAAATAAATAAAATAAAAATCACCTTGAACTTCCATTAACAACCGTTAGGAAGAAGATGACACGGAGGCGGGCACACAGCCTCATTGGCAGGTGAGCCCTGCCAAAAGCCATTTCCTGGAAATGTGAATGTGTGAATCCCACATATCAATCAAACAACAACAAAATAAGACGCAAAAGACCCAAGTAGTCAGTTTTCCAGCATAAAGATCAAAGAGAAATCATGAAGATACACTCAAAACAAAACAAGCCCGTGCAAAAAAATAGACAATTAGCAAGGATATGAGTTTAAGATTCTGGAACAGAGGCCGTTGGGCGCTTCATTGATGCAGACTTGATAAGATGGTTGTAGCTTCCTTTCTCCTTAAACAGCTGGGAAAAATGGTGTTTACAATACAAAATGCCCTCGAGGGCTGCATAATTTGATGGAGAGATAGCGCAGCCACCATGAGAGCACTTAAAACATGACTTGTGATAGCTCTGGCTCTCCACAGTCACCTGAAACCAATATTATTAAAACAAAATGTAAGTAGACTATATTGACAAGAGCACACAAGCACAACAAACCAACTATTGCTTCCCACAGGATCTTAAACTCTACTTAGCTGGACTTTTAGTACATGTCTCAGGGTTAAATGCATTTATAGTCTTGAAGATCTACTACTAAAAAAACAAAACATAAGATTATCCAATAGTGATGGACTTTAACTTTTCCTTGAAACTGCTTACAAGAGACCCTGGTCATTTAATTTATGGTAACTAGGTTACAGGGTTTCAAATCTAACACATTTCACAAAAGCTCCATAGTGTTATGCTTAGCATCTTAAATTTACAGTCATTCCTACACCAGAGAAAGGGTGAAGGTCGTGGTAGGTAGATGGCCAACATTGAAGGAAATGGATCCACATACCCAACTGTAATTAACTAGCATTTTAAGCTTGTTAACTCGAGTTGAGCTGTAAAAGCAAGTATCAATTCAAAATATATTTTTGATAAAACATTAAATTGAGCCCCCAATTATGCAGCTGATGCCTATCAGCAACTGATGACATATTTTGCACTTCTCAAAAGAGCATTCAAGTTTGAAAATAAAGCTGGTAGGTAGTAGGACATTGTAACATTTTCATTTGGCAAAACTACAAAGATCTAGAAGTGATTCACTTTTTTTAAGAAAGGCAAAAGCTATTCCAAAAATTTTAGAAGAGTAAAAGGGAGAATCAAAGAAAATGGAGACAAAGTGTTTCTTCTCCACCATTCTCTGAAGAGTTCTGTTTAACCATTCTTTGCAGAGTTCTGTTTAGAAAGAAGTGTTTATACTTTTGTAGTCTACCATAACTTAAAAGAATGAAAACCTAACAAAGAATAAAGGAGGAAAAGGAAGGAATACATGCTTTTAGTCAAGAAGTAAACTTTTCACTCACTCGCAAAGAAGATTCTTTATGTATGTACATGTATATATATGCATGTGCTTGTAGTCCATAGAAATGCGCAAGCATGTGACTTGCTGCATAATTTTACAAGATTATAGTTCTATATTTTCAGAAATTCAACGGCCAAACATTATACAAAGCCAAGATCAAGCATGATCCTTACCAAAAGTTGCTCTCAAAGCCCCTTTGACCCCTACATTTTGACTCCTTAGCACAGGATCCACCACACCACATATCCTCATTGTTTGCACTTGCAGAGAGCAAAAGAGAGATACCCATTGTTTTCTAACAAGTTAAGAGTTCACATTCATCTCTAGGTTCCTTTTTTTTAATCATCCATCCTAATCACCTCATCTCAACCACAAGCTGAGTCAATAAAGATGTTGTTTGGTCACACCAATAAAGAACAAAATTGGCTTTACACATTTATCTTCTAAATCTTCCTTCTGTACAATTCATCAAGCACTTGTAAATTGTAATCAAAAGTGCACTCTCAATCTCCTGTTTTGTGCTTCTATCAGTCACGTTTCGCTCAATCCCTTCCTTTCTGTCAATAATCATCCAGTAACATGGACAACTGCACAAGGTCGCCCCATTGACTTGTAAGATTTCTGAAAGCTTTTTTGTACATTCCATTGTATCAAAGATTACAATCAGACCTTAGATTATATAGCCCTAAATCCTAAACCAAAAAGGAAAATACAAATATAATTATAATTATGTCTCTAATAGGACTCTAATTTGTACAAAACACACAATAATATATTCTATATTCTCACACTCCCGCTCAAACTCAAGGTATTTTAGCAGAAAACACTGAGAGTTTGCTAAGAAGAAACTAAAATCGAGCGGTGGTGTGAGTCTTGGTGAAGAAGTCCGCAAGTTGCAAAGCCGAAGGGATGAAAGGAAGCGAGATAGAGGCAGACTGCAGATGCTGGCGAACAAAGTGACAATCAATCTCAATATGTTTCGTCTGCTCATGAAAGACAGTATTGTGGGCAATCTGAACAGCACTGCGGTTGTCATAATAGAGAGATGTCGGAGAAGACTGAGAGACACCCAAATCAGACAAGAGATAACGAAGCCAAACAATCTCAGTAGTGGCATGAGCCATAGCACGATACTCAGCTTCGGCAGTAGAGCGAGCAACGACTGATTGTTTCTTACTTTTCCAAGAGATCAAGGAATCTCCAAGAAACATACGGAAACCAGACATAGACTTACGATCAGTAACATCACCGGCCCAATCAGAGTCAGCATAAGCCACCAAGTCCAAAGAGAAAGTAGAGGACAACAATAAGCCCTGAAAGATGGTACCCCTGAGATAGCGAAGAACGCGAACCAAAGCAGCCCAATGGGTAGAGCGAGGAGCAGAAACGAATTGACTAACCACATGAACAGCATAAGCAAGATCAGGGTGAGTGACAGTCAAATAAACTAAACAACCCACAAACTCGCAATATAAAGTGGGATCATCCAGAGGGACACCATCAATAGAGTTAAGCTTCACATTAAGCTCAATAGGTGTATCAGAAACCTTAGTATCAGTAAGACCAACACGATGAATGACTTCATTAGCATACTTGGCCTGAGACAGAAAATAGCCTTTGGGAGAAGAAGTAACCTCAATATCAAGAAAATACCGTAATGGATCTAGATCCTTCATTTCAAAGGTGCGGAAAAGATGCTGCTTGACCTCAGAGATAGCAAAAGAGTCCGAGCCAGTGATGATCATATCATCCACATAGAGTAAGAGAGCAACAAAACCAGCCGATGTATGTCGCAGAAATAAAGCAGAGTCGGAAGCAGAATGATGAAACCCGAGCTTGGTAACAGCAGCCTGAAATCGATCATACCAAGCACGAGGAGACTGTTTTAGACCAGACAGAGCACGCCGGAGACAACAAACCTGACCAGAGGGATGGTGAAGGCCAAAGGGAGGACGCATGTAAACCTCCTCAGTGAGATGGCCATTAAGAAAAGCATTCTTAACATCCATCTGATAAAGAGGCCAAGAACGAACAACAGTAACAGAGATCAAAGTACGGACAATAGTCATTTTGGCAACAGGAGCAAATGTCTCTTCATAATCAATACCATACTCTTGAGAGAAACCTTTGGCAGCCAGACGAGCTTTGTAACGCTCAAGAGAACCATCAGAATGAGTCTTGACTTTGTAGACCCATTTGCAACCAACCGGGTTCTTATCAGCAGGCAAAGGAACCAACTCCCAAGTACTAGTTTTTTGTAAAGCAGACAACTCATCTTCCATAGCTTGAACCCAATAAGGATCCTGACAAGCCTCCTTGTAAGACTGAGGTTCTACAAAAGAGTGAATAGCAGACAAAAAGGTACGATAGGAAGTAGAAAACAAGTATTAGACCAATCCAACCTGTTTGGAGAATGACGTGCTCGAGAAGGATATCGGTGTGTAGTAGGATTAGAGTCGTCAGAAGCAGAAGGAGCAGCAGCAGGGCCAGAGACAACCGGTGGAGGAGGAGCCTTGCGACGAGAATAAACTAGCAACGGGGGAGGAGAAGAAGCCGAAGGAAGAGAAGTAGCTAGAGGTATAGGAGGAGAAGATAGAACAAGCTCAGGGGGAACAGTGGAAATGTACTCATCAGACGAGACCTCAGAAGGAAATGGGTCAATGTGAACCAAATCCTCTTTGGAAACTGGAGCAGTGAGAAGGGGAAGCTGGAAGTAAAATAGACGTTCAAGAAAGGCAACATGACGGGAGACATAAAGACGACGGGAAACAGGGTCGTAACACCGATAACCTTTCTGAGTAGGACTATAACCGAAAAAGACACAGAGGACAGACCGGGCACTAAGTTTGGTCCTATCTTTGCGGGGAAGAAGAACAAAACAAGCAGACCCAAACACACGAAGGAGGGAATAGTTAGGAATTTGGGAGAACAAAGCCTCATAAATGGTCGAGCCGAGTCAGACCATAACACTTTAATTGTAGACCCAAACATCAGTATGAACTAAAGAAAACAATATATCAGATATAGAAGTACTTTTACGAAAAGGTAAGGCTGTCATTTTGACAAGTTTACACCCCCGACATTCAGTAAGTTCACTAGGAGAAACTTTACCCAAAATACCTGACTGAGCTAAAAACCGTAAGCGGTCAGCGGACAAATGCCCTAATCGATAATGCCATAAGTAGAAAGGACTAGACAGAGAATCTAACTGAAAAGAGGAAAAGGCTGTCAAAGAGGTTGCTATAGGCAGATGCAAGCTCTCCACTACATAGTGGTCTCCAATTCTACGGCCGGTCCCAATCTACTGCTTAGACATTCGATCTTGTACAGAACAGATAGCAGAAGAAAAGATAACATCAAAACCAGCGGCATCAAGTTGACCAACAGATAAACTGACAGATAACTGAGAAACATAAAGAACAGATGGAATAGAGACAACAGATATAGCAGACGGTAGGACAGACCCAACAGATACAACAGACATACCAGATCCATTAGCAGCATTGACAGTAATAGGAAAAGGAGGAGGAGTACAATATTGAAGTAAGGAGAGATGGGGAGTCATATGATGAGAAAGACCAGAGTCAAAAATGCAAACAGACGAAAAAATACCTGAAGAAGAACCAAGCAAACCTGAATGAAGAGAGGATACAATAGAGGCAAATGGGGATGGCTGAGAGGTAGACAATATATGCTGAAGCTAACTAATCTGAGCAGTTAAGGAAGCCAAGTTAGGATCAGGAGCTAGAGCGGATGTAGTGTACGCAACGGGAGAAGTCCAGAATTGATTATGAGACTGCTGAAAAGATGTGGCAGACATACATCTCTTCTTAGGACAATGGTACATCCAATGGCCTTTTTGATGGCAGAAAGCGCACTCATTAGAAGCCAGAGTCATCACAGTAATCAAAAAACTGAGAGGTTCAAGTATAATTAAACAAAATAGCCAAACCAAGAGTTTAAGTGTAATCCTCAAAATTTGTATGGGCAAAGTATAATAACTCAAAATATATGAGGGTCAAATTGTAATAACCCAAAAACTAGCACAAATGGGTCGTGGTGGGTTGAAATCAGATATCAAACACGAAGAGAGAGATCACCATTAAAAGACCAAAGCAAACTAGCAAACTCAAAGAGAGGGAGACCACCGACTGAAGTCAAGAGAAGCCGAGAGAGACAAATGGAAGTCGAGAGAACCAGAAGGAGAGAGGCAGACTGAGCTGTGAGGAGTCGAAGCACTGCAACCACGTCAAACAGATGGGTCGACCAAGTTAACCAAAAAAAAGAGGAACCACGTCAAAGGTCGAGAGAGCAAAGAGACGAACCAGAGGTTGACTAGATGGGTCACGAGAGGAACCAGACCTAGACGTCGTAAAGAGACGAACAAACGACCCACAAAGCAAGGAGCTTCGATTGACAACCAGTTTTGTGAGAGAGATGGATCGCGAACTAGTTTGAACCAACGACGCGCGATTCTGGTGACAGAAGACCGACGATGTAGGGTTTCGTGACCTGCTCTGATACCATGTAAGATTTCTGAAAGCTTTTTTGTACATTCCATTGTATCAAAGATTACAATCAGACCTTAGATTATATAGCCCTAAATCCTAAACCAAAAAGGAAAATACAAATATAATTATATCAAGCACTTGTAAATTGTAATCAAAAGTGCACTCTCAATCTCCTGTTTTGTGCTTCTATCAGTCGCGTTTCGCTCAATCCCTTCCTTTCTGTCAATAATCATCCAGTAACATGGACAACTGCACAAGGTCGCCCCACTGACTAACATCATCACAAATAAGATTCCTAAAAACCCACTTGCTGAAATTCCGTTAAACCATTGGTTACTGCTGAAGTTGATTTTTTTACTGTGTATTTTATACCCAAAGCCTAGGTAAGATAGCATTTTTTAATCAAGGCAATTACAATATAATAATGCAAGTTTTTTTGTCCCCTCTTGTTTCTTTTTCCAAGGCTTAATTGTAAGTGTCACCACAGCAGATGAATTAACTAATATTTCACATTGAGTATTGTAGCAAAATCTTTGATATGCATAGCCGTTGCATCCCTTCAGTATGAAACACTAAAAAGTGTTCAACAAGCCCACAAATCCACCACGTTAGGGCCATTAGGAAGTAGTATAAAAATGAGAGATGAATGAAAATACAATCTAGGCAAGCAACTGAAGATGATGTTGCAGTCACTTTTCCAAGTACAACAAAAGAATGCGCTTTTCAGTGTTGAATCCTACCTTCTCAAGTGGATAAGCCGTTTTACCACATGTTGCACATTTTTCTTGAGTCCCAGAAAACATGCTAGCAGCTTTGCTGGGTGACCTTGTCTAAAACCGACACAACGTAATAAGAATCATAAGCAAAATATTACATAGCATGAGCAAAACTAGTCCACTTGTTAGTACAAAAACATGTAGTAGTCATGGAAAAATTTACCAGCTCTGGAGTTAACTTCTCGGCTGACTTTGCAGCTGTCAAAAATGAAATACATTGGTCATTAAAAAGATAAAAACCAGACCTGTCAAAAACCATTGACTTAATTTGACAAAATTCTAAGACATACGTGATTGGAAGTTCTTGTGGAAACTACCCGTCTCCTTGAAGAGCTGCTCAAAGTGAGGCTTACAGTACAGAACACCCTCCATTGAGGAGTAATTGCTCAGCTGAAAACAAATTCACCAGATAAATTAATTGACATTTATCCAAAATGTACCCTCTGCCTATCTTTGACATCAAAATCTGGCATAATAGCCCGAACAAAAACATCTCCACAAATGCAGTTAAGATCTGTATAATATGCTAGGCCATATTACATTTGGTTCACCACGCACCAAACAATAATTGTATGTTGCCTCCCTAGTGATCTGTTTTTTTTAGTTTTTTGACAAAGTTGTAACAAACAAATATAGGATAATGACATACTAACAAAATTTGTGTACATAATTTTCATCCAAAGACAGAAATCGATAACAACGTCAGATACACAGAATACACATAGCTACCGTTTGGCAAAAGCTTTTTTAGTTGGCTTTTGGAATTAAAGACTTTTTTAGCTTGGACGAAAAAGTTGGTTTAGGAAGAACTTTTATGAGAAAAAATAAAATAATTATGGTTTGACATGGACACTTAATGAAGCCATTACAGACAATATTTTACTGCATTCGTTAGTAGGGTCGCTTTTAAAAATATCTTATCAATTCATATACAGAATATCCTTTTTCTTGTCTTCTATTCTCAAGAATTCTACATAAACAAAAGAAATGAAAATAAAGACGTGAAGTTGGAGTCACCTTGAGTGTTCCTTTGCAGTGACTGCACTTAAAGCATGATTTATGATAAGAAACTCCATCCGCAGACAACAACTCAACTGGATAAACCGTCTTCTCACAGGCCTTGCATTTCTGTTGTGTGCCGGTGAACGACATAGTTTTGAATATCTCTCTGTAGATCTGATTTGCCTCTTAAACAACCGTATTTACTACTAAAGCTTCAAGAACACAAACAGAAAGCAAAATCAGAGTCAAATAACGGATCTGAAAAAGAAGCATTTCAATCAATAAGAATTTTTTTGGTTCTCGCCACATTGAAATACAAATTGATCCGATAATTATCACAATACAAGCCTGAATAAGTTGAGATCTGGTTCGAAAGACAACGATTTACTCAAATTGAAGTGGTGCAAGATGTATCTACCTCAAGATAGTCAGAAATCGTTGATCTGTGAGCTTCTTGGAGAATGAAGTGTCGATCAAACACGAAAATGAGAGCCGAAGACGATCACGGAGTCGAAAATGGAGCTATTTTACTGCAACATTGATTGTGTAGAGAGGGAGAGAGATGGAGAGATGAAGGGAGATTGGAGGCGTTCTATATAGGAAGTGGATGATGAGAGAGAGAGAGAGAGAGAGAGAGAGCATAAATATGTTCGCTGAAAGCATATTGGCTCCATTTTGACTCGAATGGGACCAAAGAGATGCTGCACTTTTTCATTTAAAATTGTAAAATTTACTTTTTTGGATTGTTAAAAATCTACCCGTGTCTACTTTCCCGGGATTTATTCATTTCTTTTTTCTTTTTTCTTTTTTTATCACATGGCTTATTTTAATTTTTTTTAAAATGAATGGAGCCTGTTTAGAATGAATTCTCTCTATTGGCCCTAATTGGATGTGTTGTTGAGTTTTGTTAATTTAATTTATGTTATTATTTTGCTAATTCAAATTGCTAATTTTGTAAAAAATATTAGAAAAATCAGTTACATAAAGAAATTAGGTTCATCAAATAATTATACTTATGTAATAGAATCATATTTATCTTCAAAACATGGACAATTCATTTTCAAAATTGTATTATTTATCATCCATTTCTTGATGACGAATTTGAATTGACCATATAATTACAAGGGACTTGATTATCTTCGGTTGGACAATTCAATTGAACCGGCTACTTCGGCTTATTTAAGGTCTATTTTGAGTCTGTTTTGATAATTCAAACTGTTCAATGTGTAAAATTCGTTGAATACTTTATTCTTGCAAAAAATCACGTTGATCAGTTCATATTTCTTTCAATAATTTTTTTTTAAATCATATTTACTGTTAACAGAAATATCAACAGATCAAGTGGCTATTGATATCTAATTAACATAATTTTTTGTAGAAATAAAATACTCGATGAATTCTATATATTAAACAATTTGGGCTCCGTGATGAGCTCATAGCGGTCAAACAATTCAATCCATTCCGATTAGGACTAAAGACAAACCTATGCTTAAATACAATTATAAATAATTTTCTCAAAATATTTTGTTAGATGAATGGTTCAAATCATTTAAATTAGGAGTGTGTGTGGTGCAGTTTGTTGTGGTTTGAGACTAAAAGAGAAATTACACGGCGTGTGCGAATTGACAAATTTATCATTAAAAACTACCATTTTTCCATCACAAATCAGCATAGCGGTTGACAAATAATAGCGGTTTTTACTTAGCGATTCAAACGGATTGACGGATTAGAAACAACCTATTTCAAATTACAAAATTTGAATCAAATCTAATTATGAATTAACTAAAATAGTCAAAATTAAAATATATCTATTCTTTCAACATTGACAAACTAGCAAACTATAAATTCAACGGTCCAAATAAATTATATAATAACAATCTAATAAAGTAACAAATACTAAACTAGCAAAACAAACGGCCCTTAAAAATAAAATAAAATAAAGAATAAAGCTTGGTAGCTCTAGATTATCACGGCTCGATTGTCCCGAATTGCAAAACGACGCCGTTTTTAGGACCTACTGGTAGTTTACTCTATAATTTTTGATATATGAAAAATGTTTCGATTTAATCTTTCATACGCAATTTAAATATTGACAGATTAAATTAAAATATTTTTTTATATATTGGAGACTGGGACTAAATTAAAGTAATTTTATATATTAGGGATTAAATTAACACAATTTAAAAATTAGGGACTAAATTGACACAATTTAATATTAGAGATCAAATTGACACAAGATTCACACTAAGCGGGTAATTTCTAATCTCTCAATTGCCTAATAAAAATAAGTTAATATTATCTTATAAATTATTCAACCATGTCATTATAATTAAAATATCACGTTAACAACATAACATAATGCTATAAAATTAGAGAATAATTACTCCTCTTTTCACTTTTTTTTCTGGATTAAATTTGACACTCAAACATTGGTATTTATAATTGTTTGGAAATATTACAATCCAATAGGGGTGGGCAACGGTTTATCCGAACCGCTCAAACCGCCCAATCCGCCCAACCCGCATATAAATGGGCGGTTTCGCAAACATAATGCGGGCGGATGCGGTTTGAAATATGAAAAATTTGCAGGTTGCGGGCAGGTCGCGGATTAAACCTGCAACCCGCAAAAACCGTCCGCACTTTAATTATTATTATTATTATTATTTTTTATATACCAACTTTGTAACTTTTACAGGAGTACCATTATGTTATCTATGATACTAGGATCCTTATTTTTAAGTACTTCTCAGCTTTCTTAACGCCGTAGAATTATCAAGTCCTAAACTCAGTTTCTTATATGATTTTCATTGGTGATTCATCCACTTTTTCCTAATAAAATTTTCCTTCTAATGGTCGATGGAACTTATAGTTTGATTATTGATTACTGAACTGGCAATTCTAATTGAGTACAACTTTCAATGCATTGATATACATTTTTTTCATTGCAAAAATGCTAGTGTAGAGTCTCTTTGTTTTGGGTACTTTCATTTAATGCATTGATATTCAATTTTTATTTGTAAACTCATCAAAAAATTGTTATCACAAATATATAAAATGAATTTGATGCCTAAATTCGCTGGGAAAAAAAACTCGAAAATTAATTTTTAAAGAAAAAATGTGTAAACCGCAAACCGCCCGCAACCGCCCGCACATTTGCAAACCCTATCCGCACAAACTGCAAACCGCACTGCGGGCGGTTGCGGGTTGACTTTTTCCCAAACCGCATAGATGCGGGCGGTCAAAACCGAACCGCAAACTGCACAAAACCGATCCGCGAACACCCCTACTCGATTGTCCCGAATTGCAAAACGACGTCGTTTTGCCCTTTTTTTTTTTCTTCTCATTTTTCCTTCTTCTTCCAAACTGATTTCAGAGAAAGAGAGAGAAACAAAGAAGCAAGAGAAAGAGAGAAGGAAGAAAGGAGAAGCTAAAAAAAGAGAGGGGGAAGCTTGATCTTCAAAGAGAGGGAAGCTTGTTTTGATTTTGATTCTCTCAGATCCAACTCTCCTCTCTCTCTCTCTCAAACAACAATTACCACACCGCCACCACCAATGATCAACTCTTTCTCCCCGATGTTAACCCTCATCCTACTCACCTTCTCTAGATCTGGTTCATGATTTGGGTGGGCAACAGTTGAGATTCTTCTTCTCTTCTTGCAGTATACTTGGCAAAAATTCTTCAAAAAATGTGTACAGATTTGGGTTTGTGAAATTCTCTAGATTTGAGTTTATGAAACTTTGGATATTTAAAGTGTTGAAATTGAAACTACCAGCATGAAGAAAAACAATGTTTTCAAATATATGGGGCACGTTTGGACCCACACCATTTCCAACCTTCATCTTTCTCTCTGCTCTCTCCCATGTTCCTCCACTTTCCTTTGCTTTAATGAATGTACCATACTCACAAAACCATTAAAAAAGTTTCAGATTTTTATTTTGCCTTTTTTTTTCTGGGTTTGTGATGATATGCTTGGAATGTTAAGAAACTTTATTTTGATTTGGTTTCAGAAAGAACAGAGGGAGAAGAGGAAGGAAAAAAAGAGAGTGAAGAAAAAAAAATGCCAAAACGACGTCGTTTTGGCACTTCGAGTCATTCGGGACAGAGATAATTCGAGCTACCTACCTAGCAGCTTTGTAAAATAAAATAAAAAGCAAAATTGTTTCGTAGCTCGAAAGTGGTGGTTCGAACTTGGCCCGAAAAGCAATATTTTCTCTCTTCTCCCTATCTGGGTCTATAAGCTCAAAATGAACACAATACGAAAAGAAATACCCTCTGTATCTCGTTCCTCTCATCTCTGTGAATCTCTCTCGTTATCCCTCTCATCTCTGTCATCCCTCTCATCTGTGTGAAAACCTTTCGATTGGTAATTGATAAAGGAAAATAACGGAGAATCGCAACTGATAGAGGAGAACGACGGATGGAGGAGAACAAACCACGACAGAGGACGGATGACAAAACAGATTTCTGGATAAATTTATTTTATTATGGCATTCAATTGAAATGTTGTTCCTTTGTTTTCAATTTGTTTATTAGATGAAATGTGAAGAATGTGGAGGCTTGTACATGGTTACTGTGGGGACATAATTTTTGAATGACAAACACGTGGCCAAGGTGGCACCGAAGTACCAGCCAAGGTGGCACCGAAGTACCAGCCAAGGTGCCACGTGTCCTGGTCATGGAGCCGAGATGATCTCGGCTAGGCTGAGGTTATCTGCTGAGATACCAGAATCTGGGATAAGCGTGTAAGGAACAAGAGTCCTAGAATGGGAGAGAACTTCAGTTTGGGTAAAAATAAAACTCTTAGAGAGTTTATCACATTCCTACTAGGAGTCCATGATTAGCAGTGATCCCGAGTCCATTGAAGTTAGGCTTCTATTGGGATTAGGTAAGTGTTGGCTATAAAAGAGAAGCACCCCCATGGGTCTAAGGTATGTTTTTATGCTCTGAATAGTGAGTTAAGCACTTTTGCTATCTTTGAAAGATAACTCACTTGATCGTCGGTGCCCCGGGTGGACGAACCACCGCCAGAATCTCTTCTTTTTGTGACAGGTTGTTTGGGCTTAATCTATTCTGTCAGTGTTCTCTACCTGAGTGCTTGATTGGCAGTGTGGTCGGAAATTGACACACACAGTTACTAATGTTTCTGTTGTCATCTTCAAAGTATCCATGAAACTGGTTTGAAATTTTTGTTGACATTTGGAATTTTGGGTTTTCAGTTCATACATTGAAATGTTTAAACTACTTGGATGAAACTATGGCATTTTATGGCTTAAAAAGTCTAACAATTTAGATGAAATTATTAATCTGTGATGGTTCTAATCTAATTGAGCTTTGTACTTTTTGCATTTTTTTACTCTTTTTATGGATTTATAAATCGAAAGCCATTTTAAACATTTGAAACTTTTAAAACTGATTTTGGTTTAGTAATTAAATTTTCATGGGCAGTGTTTTCTTGTATTGACATCTGCAATCTGTATGTGGTGAATTGTTTAACTTGTTTTGCTCTCACCCACCTGGAAGAGCAGCGACAACACCCTTCGGACAAACAGCAGCAGTGGCAGCTGCCATCGGTACACACAGCAGCAGCGAAAGCACCAGTTGACACACACAAAAGCAGCACTAGCCTCGTCAGTAGCACCAGCACCCGTCGGTCGGCTCCTCTC